TGAATATATTATTTATTCCAAAACTAAAATGTTTAGTTCAATATAGCAGGCTAACATGCTAAAGTGACAGATATTGTGGTTAGAAAACAAATGGGCTTTAGAGCCAAACAAAGCTTGGGTTCAAATCCCAGCTCTGCTACTTACTTGCTGAGGGACTTTAGGCAAGATACTTCCTAATCTGAAAAATGGGAATAAACATCTACCTACCTCACAAGGTTCTTTGGAGAAATATAGTAAATGATGTGTGAGAAAGGGAAAACATGTAGGATGGTGCCTAGCACACAATAGAGACTCAATATATTTCCTGCCAGGCATCACATACAATATTTAGCCACATTCTTAGTGTCAGTTTTCTATCAGCACTCTTTAAGTACAATTGTTGAGACATTTGCGAATATCCTTAACGATATAGTCATCTCTCCTATATTTCTTTTTTTTTTTTGAATGTTTTATTGTGAATTTTGTGATAGTTTACATGGGAGAACATTAGCTTTACATTCATCCTATCATATATCATTTCATTATTGCCATGGTTACAGTCCCCTCCATGTATCATCAACCAACCAAAGGGTATACCCTGCAAGCCTGCCCCCTGGTCGTCAGCACACAGCCTTTCTCCGGCTGCTCCATCTCTCCACGTTGTCATTTCTGCCTCCATCACTGGCGTCACTGCTTCTCTGGATAGGGTCTCGCACTCTACTCTTGATGGTTCCAGGGACCTCCGCTCCTGGACTGCAAAGTCAATCACTCCCCTCCTTTTGCTACAAAATGTCTACCTTTACATTTCCAACCCTCGCAGTCAGGCCTGATAACAATTATTCACCATTGTACCACAAAGGACCTATCCCCATCTCCTTTTATCAGTGCCACCTACACAGATTGGATACTACTCAGTGGAGATTCTACCTTCCTCCATGCCCTCTGGATCTGGGCTCCCTCTTGAGAGCCTGTAAGCCAGTCACTTCTTGCCTTTGTAGCACCCCCATTTTGGGTAGTCTCCTATATTTCTTGTCATCCACATCAATAGTGTGAAAGGCATTGTCACATACTTCACTTATCTTCTTATACTATACCCACTATTTCTCCTGCTCTACCAGTCTGGTGACCCTACCCTTAAAGGACTTGAGGTCAGTCTGGAATTACTTGTTCCTGAGTATTCCTGGAGTTCACCGTTTCTCATTCTAGCTACATATAAACCAGATGTTAAAAAATTCTAGAACACTGTACTATTGGTGTTGTCAGTGTCACTAGGCAATAGTTTCCAGAGACTACTTTCTTCCCTAATTAACATTGGGATAGGATTTGCCTATCTGCAGCCTTCCAACGTGTTTTCTTTAGGTCAGGATCTCTCTGGACTGGAAAATATGAATTGATTCAAAATAGCTGGATACTCTTTTATTGTTTCACATTTATCTTGATCATATTCCCCTTTCGCCATGTGTGCTTGTTCTATCCATTCCAATCTGATCTTTATTTTTCTTGGCATAATATAAGGGAGAACTAAAACAGGAGTAATTGTTGCAATCCCAGCCATCCTTGTAAGGTTTTTGTGACATGTCTTGTGACCTTATAACGAACAGCTCCACAATGGTAGTGAGTGTATAAGAGACTTTTTGTAATTTGGAGATGGTGACTCCAGACAGCAGCTGTGTGTCGCTGCCATAGGCTCAAAACTAATGCAGAAACCATGGTGTGTTATTCGCACAGTCATCTGTTATCACTCTCCAGTTGCCCTCAAGCAGAGGCTCTAGTCTAGTTCTGTAAAGACATCATCTCAAAACCCCTATGGAGTTCTGTGCTATCCAGTAGGGTCACTATGAGTCAGAATTCACTTGATGGCAGTGGATTTTAGTGTGTTTTTTTGTTGCTAATATTGTGTCAGTTTCAGCTGGCGGGTTTGATCTGCCACTTTTCAGTTAGCAGTCCAGTGCTTATCCAACAGTATCACACCAGGACTCCTTAGTGCATTTAGGATTTGGGAAATGCATCAGTTCATTTGGGGCTTTAGTGTTTCTAATCCTAGACCAACAAGTCTGTACCATTCTTGTGTATGCATCTGTGGGCAAGTGGCCCTCCTCTTATTAATAACTGTCCCTTGAAAACCTGAAGCTGCTAAAGAACTGTTTATTTTGTATAGCCAATGAGGCTTCCTTAGGATGCATTTATGACTTAGCAACCCTATAACCTTTTGTGCTCAATTCTGAACTGGCATCAAACTTTCATTCCTAAGAAGTCTTCTTTGATGTCACACTTTCTTCCTCTATCTTACACATTCATATTTTTAAATGTATTTTTCATTTGCATACAATAAAATCAACTCTTTTGTGTGTATCTACAGAACTATGAATTTCTGACAAGGGCAAAATCAGGTAATATCACCAACAGAACAGTTTCATCACTTCAAAAACTTTTCTAGTGCTGTCTTTTTGAGGCTACCCCTGACCTCTGGCAACCACCGATGTGCACCTATTTTTTCCTTTTTCAGAACGTTATATAAATGGAATGCTATAGTAGGTAGTCATTTAAGTATGGCTTCTTTCACTTCATAAAATGTATTTACGATGTATCCATGTTGTTGTGTATATCAGTACTCCAATCTTTTGTATGGATAACCCACAGTTTGTTTAACCGTTCACTCAAAGAAGGACATTTGAGTTGTTTCCAGGTTTTAGCAATTACAAACAGAGCTATTTTAATCATTTGTATATAAGCTTTTATGTGAACTCAGGTTTTCGTTTCTCTTGACTAAACACCTGGAGTCCTGGTGTGGTGCTGTAGGATAAGCACTGAACTACTAACCACATGGTTAGTGGTTCAAGCCCACAGCCACTCCTTGGAAGCCCTATACATGATCTCTATGAGTCAGCACTGACACGATGGCACTTAACAACAACAACAATAGTAAATACCTGTCGAGGTCCTATGTCGGGGTCCAGCCTCGACAAGGAAGTGTGGGTGTCACGAAGAAGGGAGATCTGGCGGCGAAAGGGATAGAGAAAGAGAGAGATGAAATATATACAAAAAAGACAGGCACACAGATATGATGCAAGCTGGCAGGTAGGCAGATCTGCAAACATCTTGCCTAGCATTGCACCACAGAACTCACTCTACTTCAATCTTTTACTATCTTTTTTAGGGAGGGATTTGTTACAAAGGAAGGATGTAATTCACAAAGGGAGGATGTGATTCTTTAGATAAGACAGGATACAGAACTGAAATGTGATTAATCATTCAAAACAGGACATAATGATTCACAGGAACAACTTTTAAGATATTTTCATAGTTTTTCTTAACAATTTAACATTTTTATTTTTACAGAAAAAAGGTTCAATCAAGCTGTTATATATTAGCTTTTAGGCTTAAATGATCTAGAGCAGCGAAGTGCAGTTTCTCAAGGATACTTAACATAAAGCAAGGTTCCTGAAAGGAGCCAAGCTGTCTCTGTACACTTTGCAAACTTTTGTTTGTGAGCAAGATCTCAGGCACCGGGCTTCATTTATCTATATCTAAAATGCTACATTGTTCTTAATTATCACATTCCTATATACTTTCAGGAGGAAGGAGAGCATCTGGGTTAAACTGATTATATTCAGAGGTGGTTTAATGGGGCTGCCACTATTATCCTCTAATCCAACATATCCAGAATTTACCATTCCATTTTATTTACAAACCTTGGGTAGTTTTTCTCTAAAAACCTTTTCTCATATTCCCAATATACCTGTTCCTGGCCTTTCTGAGTTATCTGAGGAAACTTTTACTGCCTCGGCTCTAAAAAGGGGTTTCAAACCCATTATTGTTCATGGATATCAAACATAACTGAATAATCAAATAAGGAGCAGTTCTGACATTCATCCCAGGTGGCTATCGCTTGTTCCTCAGAAAGATTTGTTCCCAGGACTCCACGTACTGCCAACACAGTGGAGGCATTAAGAGAGGCATTGTAAAAGAAACCATTTTCTCCGAAGCTACAATTACTGGAGTTAGAAGCATATAATGAACAATATTAGGACCAAAGAAAATTATACAGAGGTAGCCAACCAGTGAGTTCACAAAAAACAATGAATGCGGGACATCAGGAGGTCACTTCCTTGGCCCTCAGGGTCCATGGCTCGCAGTCCTGAGGAGGGCCACGGGGTTGGATTTTCGTCCATGTCACAAGGTCACTGATCAACCCAGGGTCTGCATATGCTGTCCCCAGCAAATACCTACAGGTATAATTGCAGAACTGTATGGTACGTGTATGTTTACCTTTTTAAAGAACTATCAAAATATTATCCCAAGTGGCTGTTATTCTGCATTCTCACCATCAATGTTATATGAGAGTTCCAGTTTCTTAACATTGTTACGAGCAATTGGCATTGCCAATTGTTGTTGTTTTTAGTTTAGACATAAGTAATATGTGTATAATGATACTTTATTGTAATTTTAATTTGCATTTCTCTAATGACTAATGATGCTAAATATCTTTTCATGTGCTTTATTGACTACACTATATCCTGTTTAGAACACTATCTGTTCATATCTTTTGTTCAAGTTCTAATTAGGTTGGTTGTTTATTTTACTGTTGAGTTTTGAGAGTTCTTTATATATTCTACATAGTAGTCCTTTGTCAAAGTCCTGGTGTGATGCTGGACTTTTAACTGCAAGGTCCATGGTTCAAACCCACCAGGTGCTCCTTGGAAACTCTATACAGGGTCACTATGAGTTGGAACCAACTGGAAGAAAGTTATAGACAACTTCAAGTTCTTTGTCAGAGGGTTTTTTTTTGTTTTTTTTTTTCCCTCTGAGTGTACAATTGCTCCAGCACCACAAGTTGAAAAGACTTTATTTTCTCCATTTAACTGCTTTGGCACCTTTGTGAAAAATCAGTTGGGCATGCTTGTGTGGACCTATTACTACTCTCTCCATTCTGTTCCATTGTTCTATGTGTCTCTTGGGTCACCAATAACATACTGTCTTGATTATTATATCCCTAGTTTATGTTTCTTCTGTTGTCATAGTCCCCCGATGGTGTTATACATTAAATATCCAGGATGGAGAAGTGGCATGCTACTCACCAAGGGGAGGAAATTATCACAGCAGCCTGGGCACTCGTTGTGAACTCGCTTGTGACCGAGGTTTTCGATTGATTGGACGGAGGTCAGTACAATGCCTCCCAAGCCGCCGGTGGTCTGGAACTGGATACTGCAGGCGTAAGTTGTATGTGTGCACATGTTGACAGATATATGTGAAAGAAGCTAGTCAGTCAGCCACCTGAAGATGTTACTATATGCCCTTCTCTCACGTAGAAACTGAGAATTTTTCATGGTTCCCCAAAAGGACCTTTCCTCATGCTGACATTCTAGTTCATTTTCTCTCTATGGTCTCTGCACAAACAGTATGGAAATTTGAATAGCAGCTAGCTCTTCTGACTCAAGGAGCCCAGGATAGCATGTAGGGAGCTAAGGTTTGGGCCATCATCCTAATGTAGACATGGACCTTCTACTGGTGGTCCCAGGCTCCTTCCCACTTAGAGTAAACTGCTGTACTTCCTGGCCTGTATCCTTAGAAGGCCTTCTTCCTCATTTTCTTGTGAAAATCAGTGAGAGGAACCCCAATATTAGAATGTGAGAATGCTAATATACACACATTCTAAATTGGGCCCCTCTTCAGCTCTGAAATCCTTCTTATTTAAGCTCTTCAGCCTTTCAGTGGCTGAGCTTTGTCTGTTAGGACACCTATGTGTAGGGCCCTGTACTGGTCACTTCAGGAGCTTACTAAATTTCTAAATTACCCCAAAGCTGATTATAGACTAATGAAATATCATTATGTGCCTATGAACAGAGGAAATACTGGCATTCAGAAATGAGATTGATCAGAAAAGATGCAGTGGAGGGTAGGAGAAGCTTGATAGACAGAAAGAAGGAAGTCACCACATCCTTCTAGGTGATTGCAGTATCTTTGTTCTAGGACTTGGGCCCTATCATTTCCAAAGTGAATTTGAATTACCCTTATGAAATTAAAATAATATAAGGCTACAGATTAAAATGAACATCAAACCAATTAAAAGATTGCCTGAGAAGCCCTAGTGGTGCAATGTAGTTCAAACTTACCAGTCACGCCATGGGAGAAAGATGAGGCAGTCTGCTTCCATAAAGATTTACAGCCTCTGAACCCTATGGGACAGTTCTACTCTGTCTTATGTTGTTGTTGGTAAGTGCCATAGAGTCGGTTCTGACCCATAGCAACCCTGCATGGGGTTTCTGAGGAGCAGCTGGTGAGTTTGAACCACTGACCTTGCATTTCAAACCAACTTTGCAGTCCATCGCATTAACCCATAGGGGCACTATAAGTCAGAATTGATGGCAGTGGGTTAGATAGAATGAGTTAATTCTTACATTTGAGCACTGAATCTAGTTTTTGACTTTCCTCATAGAAGACAAATGGGTGAACATGTTGGATCTTTCAGTCTCAATTTTCATATAATACTAAGAAAACAAATTCATCTGAAGACACAAGCCTTTTTCTTGGCCCTGATTTCAAGGAGGCCATTTTTTCATGGGTCTTTATCCATGAGATATAGAAAAACTTAATACACAGTAATCTTCAAGTCTGGTTTGCCAATAAGAAAACTGAACATAGTTAATATAGTGTCTTTATTCAAAGCTCCAACAATTGAGCTTATGCAAGGGTAGAACTTAGACAACTTAGAGGGAATGTGTGGCTTACCTACTTCTCTCGTGTATCAAGTATTTCAAACAAGACTTTGGTACGCACAGGCTCACAGTCAATTCATGGTAGCACTTTCTGCTTGTGGCACATGTAGTATCTAAAGCACATGGATGGTTCTTTTATAAAATGCTACCAAATCTGACCCTTCAGACACTGGTCTGACTTGTATTCTCACTTGGAGAGAGGGCCAGCTTTCTTCTGCATGTAAGTGCTGGGCAGTGTCAGTGGTGTCCTCAAAATTATATTCAAAAAGGAGCTTTGAATTTGTTCAAGGGGATCTAACGTTTGTGGAAGAAGACAAGAACATGAACAGATGCTTGAAACCCTAAATGAACCCAGAAGCTTATATCTGCTTTATCTCTTTTAATCTGCACAACTGCACAACCATCCAATCAGGTAGTCACATTGTACAGATAAAAACATTGAGACTTAAAGCCACAGATAATAAGGTGAAATTGGATATAAACCCAAGTCTTGCTTCCAAAGTCCATGAACTTGGACAAGTGATTTACTTCTCTGAGACCCTGAAGAGCAGTATTATACTTTTTATATGAAAATTAAAAAGTAGTTAGAAAAAAACAAGGCAATTAAGCATAAAAATATAAGGTTTCTGTATCTTTGGCTGTCTCTGATATGGTTCTCCTTGCGTTAGATACCCTGAATCACCTCTAGATAGCCTCCCAGTTCACTGAGCTTGCCACTTGGTTCTCTCTTAGAGATGAGATGCCACACATTGCCATTCATCACTAGTGGCACCTACACGTGCACAAATGGGGTGCTTCTTGACTCCCGCTGTGACTACAGCTGTTCCAGTGGCTACCACCTGGAAGGTGACCGCAGCCGCATCTGCATGGAAGATGGGCAATGGAGTGGAGGCGAGCCTGTATGTGTAGGTAATTGCTGGTCCCTCCCAGTTTTCCTGCTGCAAAAATCTCTCCTGATGTGGATATCTACAAAGGATATAAAATTCTTACTATAGAAGTCAATCCTGTTCTCTATGAGAGTGATGTGCTGGGTATATGCTTAACAAAGGACTCAGCTCCCCTTCAACTAGACCTCCGTCCCCAGTTTCTTTGGACACCTTGAACTGAAAGTACACCTTTTACCTACCCAGTGTTGTGGTATTGCTTCCATGGGTCCCCTTGAGATAAGGTAGGGGAGCCCATGAGTCAACAGTTGATTTCTGGCCTTGGCAGACATAGATCCCCCCAAGATCCGTTGTCCCCATTCACGTGAGAAGATGGCAGAGCCAGAGAAGTTGACTGCTCGAGTATACTGGGACCCACCATTGGTAAAAGATTCTGCTGATGGTACGATCACCAGGTGAGTTCAAGTAACAGATGCCCCTATTCCTACCACCAACTTCTACAATTTCTCATGCTGCCCACACTGAGCTGCACATGATTAGGCCACAATGATGGTGTATCCCAGACCTTAATTCAAATAATCTTTCCTCAGCAGCTCTTTAAACCTATCCCATGCAGGGTGACACTTCGGGGCCCTGAGCCTGGCTCTCATTTTCCTGAAGGAGAGCATGTGATTCGTTACACTGCCTATGACAGAGCCTACAATCGAGCCAGCTGCAAGTTCATTGTGAAAGTCCAAGGTCAGAGTTCTTCCATTTCCACATTATTCATTATTCCTGCTCAGTCTACCATGACTTCCTAGATGCCCATCACAACCTTCTCCTCTCCATGCCTAACAACAGCCATGCCTCATTTATAGTGGGTGAGAACAAATAATCCCACCAAACAGGCTTATTCTCATGTGCATATTCACTTCTACAACACATGTGCATACACACATTTCAGAAATCTTGACTTTCCAACAAGACTTTCTCATTCTCCTTAATCTAGACAAAAATCACAAAGATCTTCTGCATCCATTTCATTTCTTGACTTTCTAATTTTCAAATCTAGTCAGCCTTCATTATGTCTTTCATCTCTGTTGACAATGGTGGTGTTGGCTGCCTGATTCTTTTTGTTTGGTGAATTGTTCAGTTTTGCTTATCTCATTATAAAAATAATCCATGCTCCTTGCTGAAAATCTGGAAAATTATGAAATATGTAAAGGAAACAAATTTGCACCCCACCATCCATAACCAATTTCTATTAACCGTTTAGTATTGTCCTTGTAGTGTTTTTTTCTATGCTTACTATATATGCTTACAAGTCCACCAAACAGGTGGACGTATATACTGTATATACTATCTTGTTGTTGTTAAATGGTGTTGAGTCAGTTCCAACTCATAGAGACCCTGTATAGGGATTCTGAGGAGCAGTAATTTTGGACCACCGGCCTTGTGGCAAGCAGTCCAGTGCTGATCCTACATCATCATGCCTTGATTTTCAATTTTCCTTATGACACAAGTAATGTTCCCATATTCTTAAAAAATTCTTCATAAATACTCAAGGGCAGCAAAATAGTCTGCTGTAAGGATATATCAGAATTTGCTTAACTCTTGTCTCACTGTTGGACATTTAAGCTGTTTCTGATTTAATTTTGATACTGTAAGTAATTATGTAAGGTGAACATTTTTATACAGGGAGTCCATAAAGTCTGGAAATAGATGACAACATTTTTGTTTTTTAAAGACTGATAAGTTCCTTTGACAGTATTATGTGTACTTACCTGTGTTTACAGACTTTATAAACACCTTTGTCTGAAAGATTTAATTCCTTAAGAAAAGTCTAACTCCAGCCCTGATCATTGGAAACCAAGAGAAGCCATTCATTCTGATCATTGTAGGTCCTTTGGTATATAAAGCCTAGCATGGGCACTCTCTTAGCCTTTCCTTCCAAATAGAGACACACTAACCTCTAACTTAAGTTCCTCCCTATTAGTGAGACGCTGCCCAACTCTGAAACCACCACAGCATGGCTACCTCTCCTGCACTTCAGCAGGGGATAACTATGGTGCCACCTGTGAATACTACTGTGATGGTGGTTATGAGCGCCAAGGGACCCCCTCCCGGGTCTGCCAGTCCAGCCGTCAGTGGTCAGGATCACCACCCATCTGTATTCGTGAGTAAATCAGGGAATGGGAAGAATGAGTATATTGATTGTGGTACTTTAGAGGATTTCCTTATGTTACACGGATTCAATAGCAATGTGGATGATGTGGGAATGGGAAGTTCTGAAATGTGTTTTATTTTAAGGAACAACGCTGCACCATAGAATACTCTTACCCCAAGAAGAAGTTTTAAAATCACCAGGTGTTCTTTTGAAATTTCCCCTAATGGAAGGGAGAAACTATCAGAGTTAACCTAAAAGTTCTCATCAATATGTCATTACCCATGCTTGGATGACTGTCCATCTGCTTCTGCCCCAGCTATGAAGATTAATGTTAATGTTAACTCAGCGGCTGGCCTTCTGGATCAATTCTTTGAGAAACGGCGACTCCTCATTATCTCAGCTCCTGATTCTTCCAACCGATATTATAAAATGCAGATCTCTATGCTACAGGTAAGATCCACTTCCCTAACAAGGGCTTAGCTCCCTTACACGCCCCTCCAATCCCATCCCATTAACCCCATACCTTTTCCAGATTAATTTCTCTCTGTCCCACAAACTGTTTTCTCAACCTTTTTGTGGATATCATTTGATCAATTTTATTGAAGACACATTTAGCACATTTTAAAGGCTGGTATGTTTTTACTGAAAAGGCAATGAGGACACTGGAGTAGTAAATGTGACTTACAGGGGGTTGGGTGAAGTATGGAAAGGGAATAGGGCCAAATAATCTGGATAGAATTGTGAGACAGGTATGATCAAATATAAATGTTGAAAATGAACTATGTTCATGTTTTCAAGGAATAATAGTATTAACAAATACACGGTGAGTGCTATGTAAGTACCATGTGCTGATCTATGTGCTTTAGACACATTAATTTATATAACCCTCATAATACCCTTTATGAATAGGATGCTTTTATCCCCATTTTATAGATGAGGAAAGTCACACATAGAGAAGTTAAGTGATTTTCCCAAGGTCACTATTTAGTAAATGGCAGCACCTAGAGCTAATAAGTGGCACCAGGATCAGAAGAGAAAAATGTTGTGATATCTTAAAGCAGAATGAAGTAGTTACTTGAGATTTTTTTAACACACTACTACATACCTAAGAGGAGTCCTGGTGTGGCACCATGGGTTAATGCACCAGACTGCAAAGCCATTTGAACTGCAAGGTCAGTGGTTCAACCTCACCAGCTGTTCCTTGGAAACCCTATACAGGGTTGCTATGGGCCAGAATTGACTCAATGGCACTTAACAACAACAACAACATACCTAAGAAGCCCTAGTGGTGCAATGGTTGTTAATTGAAAGGTCAGTGATTCTAACTCACTAGCAACTCCACAGGAGAAAAGACCTAATGATTTGCCTGGGAAACCCTTTGGAGTAGCTCTACTCTGTCATATATGGTTGATATGAGTCAGAATCAACTCAACAGCACAAAATAACAACTAGATATCCAGCCAAAGCCACTTATGGAGGAGAGAGAGATAGATACGGCAGCAAAAAGCATGATTATTGGGACTTATAAAACCAGACTAGGATGGTGAAGAGAACTGTGCTGACAAGGCTAGCTCTAGGGAACTGTAAGGGGCTAGATAGCTAGATGCCATGGATTGAATTATGACTCCCTAAAGGAACTTTTGGCTGAAAGCAGAGAATACCAGAAAGATGCTTACCTGTGCTTTATTGACTATGCAAAGGCTTTCAATTGTGTGGATCATGACAAGCTATGGATAACATTGCAAAGTATGAGTATTCCTAAACACTTAATTGTGCTCATGAGGAATCTGTGCATGGACCAAGAGGCAGTTGTTCGAACAGGACATGGGAACACCGAATGGTATAAAATTAAGAAAGGTGTGCGATAGGGTTGTATTATTTCACCTTATTCAACCTGTATGCTGAGCAAATAATCCGAGAAGCTGGGTTATGGTGAAGAAAAATGTGACATAAGGATTAGAGGAAGACTCATTAACAACCTGCGATATGTAGATGATACAACCTTGCTTGCTGAAAGTGAAGATGACTTAAAATATTTACTGATGAAGATCAAAGACCATAGCCTTCAGTATGGATTGCATCTCAATGAAAAGAAAGCAAAAATCCTCACCACTGGACCAATAAACAACATTCTTATCAACAGAGAAAAGACTGAAGTTGTCAAGGACTTCATTCTTCTTGGATCAACTATCAACACTCACAGAAGCAGCAGCAAGAAATCAGACGATGTATTGCATTAGGCAAATCTGCTTCACAAGACCGTTTTAAAGTGTTGAAGAGCAAAGATGTCAGCTTGAGGACTAAGGTGTGCCTGACCCAAGCCATGGTATTTTCAATAACCTCATATGCATGTGAAAGCTGGACAATGAATAAGGAAGACCATAGAAGAATTGATGTTTTTGAGTTGTGGTGTTGGAGGAGAATATTGAAAGTGCCATGGGCTGTCAAAAGAACCAACAGATCTGTGTTGGAAGAAGTGAAGCCAGAGTGTTCTTTGGCAGCCAGGATTGACAAACTTCATCTCTCATACTTCGGACATATTGTCAGGAGGGACCAGTCACTGGAAAAAGACCCCCAGCGAGATGGATTGACAAAATAGCGGCATCAATGGACTCAAGTGTGGCAACAATTGTGAGGTTATCCCAGGACCGGGCAGTGTTTCATTCTGTTGTACATAGGGTCGCTATGAATCAGTACTGAATCAATGGCACCTAACAACAAAGGAACTCTGGTAATGTAGTGGTACGAGTTGGGCTGCTAACCTCGAGGTCAGCAGTTCAAAACTACCCGCTGGTTCACAAGAGAAAGATGAGGCTTTCTGCTCCTGTAAAGATTTATAACATCAGAAACCCTATCAGGGTTGCTATGAGTCAGAACCGACTCCACAGTACATAACTCCACCAAAGCAAGGGTGGAGTACTGGTAAGGCACTGCAGGATAAGTTCTCGACCACAATGTCAGGTTGAACTGCAGAATTGGCAGTTCAAACTCACCAACCAATTCTTGGAAACCCAGTACAGGATCACTAAGAGTTGGAACTGACTCAATGGCACTTAACAAAACAACAAAGCAGGAGTGGGAAACGTCTGGCCTACAAGCCATGTAAGGCCCTTGAAATCATTTAGTATTGCCCTGCCAAGGCAACCACAGTTCAAGCCATCACATTAAGGGTGAGTTAATTAAATGTTTGACCAAATATTGCAGGCTAATTTTTAATCGGATAATTTTGTATGGCCTACTAATTATGTTATAAATTTTGGTAGAAAAAAGGTTTCCTACCCCTGTCCTAAAGTATGTGTCAACTTTGCTGGATCATGGTTCTCAGAGGTCTGACAGTTATGTATTGATGTTATCACCCTCCATGACATGATCATCCAATCAGTAAAGGGATTGGGTGGGATGCAACACCCTTACACAGGTTATAGTCCTGATCCAATGTAAGGGGAATTTCTTTGGTATGTGGACTGCATCACCTTTATTTTCCAAGATTTAAAAGGAAAGAGAAGCCTACAGAGAAACAGGGACATACTATCACAAAGAAAGAGGAGCCAGGAATAGAGTACATCCTTTGAACCCAGGGTCCCTGCACCGAGAACCTCCTAGACCCAGAGACAGATTGATGCCAAGACACATGTAAATCTCCAAGGAAGGTCATGTCCACAGATGTTGAAAGGAGACAAGGACCTTCTTCCAGAGCCAACAGAGAGAAAGCCCTCCCTAGAACTGGCAGCCTGAGTTTGGACTTTAGCCTCCTACACTGTGAGAGAATAAATGTCTGTTAGTTAAAACTATCAGCTTTAAGTATTTCTGTTACTGCAGCACTTGATAACAAAGACAGAATTTGGTACCACAAGTGAGGTCCTAACAGATAGATACCTAAAATGTGGAAGTGGTTTTGGAATCAGGTAATACATAGAGGCTTGACGAGTTTTAAGGTGCTTAATAGCAAAAATATAGATTACTCTGAGACTATTGGTGGAATCATGGATATTAAAAGCAATTCTGGTGAGGGCTCAGAAGGAATTGAGAAGAGTTGTAACACCAGAGACTGTGCATACAGCGAGAAGCAGCGGCAGAGAAACAGCAGTAGCAGTAGCAGTAACAGAAAACCAGTGCAAGATGGTACAAAGCAAGAAAGTATCTTAGGGCTTACTGGTGGAGTCGGGTACCCCCAGGCACTTATTGGTACTGCTAAAACGATATGTCCACCATTTGTCTGTCAGTTATGGACAATGCTTAGGAGAATGAGTATTCCAGAACACTTAATTGTACTCCAGAACACAATTATAAGAAACCTGTACAAAGATGAAGAGGCAATCATTGAAAAAGAACAAGGGGGCACTGAATGGTTTAAAATCAGGAAAGGAGCACCAGGGATGTATTATTTCACGATACTTATTCAATCTATATGCTGAGCAAATGCTCTGTAAAGCTGAATGTAGCATCAGGATTGGAAGAAGACTTGTTAACAACCTGCAATATGCATATGATACACCTGAAAGTGAAGAGGACTTAAAATACGTACTGATGAAGATCAAAGATCACAACCTACATTATGGGTTGCATCTTAATGTAAAGAAAACACAAATCCTCACCACTGGACCAATAAATAACATCATGATAAATGGAGAAAAGATTGAAGTTGTCAAAGACTTCATTTTGCTTGGATCCACTACCAACAGTCATGGAAGCAGCAGTCAAGAAATCAAACAATATGTTGCATTAGGCAAATCTGTTGCACAAGACCTATTTAAAGTCTTCAAGAGCAAAGATGTCAGGACTAAGATGCACCTGACCCAAGCCATGGTATTTTCAATAGCTTCATATGCATGTGACAGTTGGACAAAGAATAAGGAAGACTATAAAGAATTGAGTTATGCATTTGGTATTGGAGGGGAATATCAAAAGTATGATGGACTGCTAGAAGAACAAGCAAATCTGTGTTGGAAGAAGTACAGCCAGAATGCTTCTTATAAGCCAGGATGACCAGAATTCTACTCTCATACTTCGGACTTATTAACAAAAGGGGCCAGTCCCGAGAAAGACATCATGCTTGGTAAAGTGGAGAGTCAGAGGAAAAGAGGAAGACCCCCAATGACATGGATTGGCATAGTAGCAGCAGCAATGGGCTCAAGCTTAAACAATTGTGAGGATTGCACAGGACCTGGCAGTATTTCATTCTGATGTGCATAAAGCTGCTACAGACTTGGATTTGATTAAAGATTGCGGGGATGAAAGTGCCTTGCATTGGGCAAGGACATTAAGGAGTCCTGGTGTGCACTGGACCTCAAGGTTGGTTTGAACCACAGTGTCAGTGGTTCAAACCCTCCTTGGAAACCCTATACAGGGTCACTATGAGTCAGAACCAACTCCAAGGCGCTTAACAACAATAACAATAAGGGGCAGACAAATACAATAGCTCAGCCTGAACAATAAGCAAGAACAAGAATGAACCAGCCAGTGAGGACAGTGACTCCAGAGGTCAGTACTAGAGGAGGAGCCAAAAGATTAAACAGGGGTGGGGTACAGGGATTGTCCAAAGTTCCTTAAACATTGGTCAAGGTAATTGGATAATAGTATACTCTATCAGATACGGCAAGATAGTCAGGGCAGGGTCACAGGTGTGCTGTCATTGTAGGGAGGCAGAAAAAGGCAATGAAACGAGCACTTGGCACTATTTTTTAAGAAATTCTGGAGATTGAGAGAAGGTCCTGGTGATGTAGCCTAGTGGTAAGTAGCATACAAGGGCAGACAGCCTCAGACCTCAGTTTGAATCTTGGTTTATCATCTTACTGTCATGCAAACTTGGGTAAGTTATTTCCTCCTCTATAGAACAAGGATAATACCAATTAGCTTGTTAGTGGTGTTGTGAGGATTAAATTAGATGATGTGTACTACACATTGTTGTTAAGTGGCGTTGAGTCAGTTCCGACTGATAGTAACCATGTGTAGGGTTTCCAAGGAGTGGCTGGTGGGTTTGACCTTGTGGTTAGCAGTCTAGTGCTTATCCTACAGATCCGCCTCATAGGGATCCTGTATAGGGTTTCCAAGATTTTAATCTTCATGGGAGCAGAAAGCTTCATCTTTCTCCTGTAGAGTGGCTGGCAGGCTCAAACCACAGACCTGGTGGTTTGCAGTCCAGTGCTTATCGTATGGAGCCACTGTGCTCTCAGGTATGTATGTTCAACGTATAATAAAATCATTGCCATCGAGTTGATTCCAACTCATAGTGATCCTATAGGACAAACTAGAAATGTCCAGTAGAGTTTCCAAGTCTTTACAGAAACAGACTGCCACATTTTTCTCCTGTGGTACAGGTGGTGGGTTTGAACCTTGACCTTTCAATTAGCATGCTAGTGTTTAACCACTGACTGCACCATTGGGGCTCGATCCTACGTATAATTATTGTTGTTAAGTGCCGTGGTGGAGTAGGTTCTGACTCATAGCAACCCTCAATAGAGTTTCCAAGGAATGACTGGTAGGTTTGAACTGCTGACCTAGCTGTTCAGATTGACCTTGTGGTCCAGTGCCTATCCTATAGTACCACACCGTGATGTCATTATTATTATATCAGAATAGCCATTTATTAAGAACCTCTGTAATTTGAAACCTTTGCTTAAGCAATGACAGATTATGTTTCTGCAATTTATCAATTATATTTCTCTACTGCACATGGTATAATTATTTTGTATACTTCAGTAGCATGAAAAAAACACTGTTGTGGCAAGTACTTACGAAATGACAGAGGGAAAAGGTTTTAGGTTGCATAGTGTGGTCTTTAGGGGAGAAGCCCCCTTTCCCCCACTTCCTTATGTGGTTCCAGGAGGAATCAGTTAAGTAGCCTTAGGTTGGAGTGTGAGGACCTGTTTGATAAAACATTCTCTCCTGCTCCCAGCAATCCACCTGTGGGCTAGACCTGCGTCATGTGACCATCATCGAGCTGGTGGGGCAGCCACCTCAGGAGGTGGGGCGAATCCGGGAGCAGCAGCTGTCAGCCAACATCATTGAGGAGCTCAGGTCAGTCTGGGAAGCTGCAGGGAAGGAGTGAGCAGAAATCCCAGACAGGAGACTGGTAAAGACAGGACTGTAGGAAAATCAACAAACACTATTCTCCTGGGGTATTTCTTTAATTTTTGAACTCTTAAGTGAGACCAGAGTCTTAACTTTGACAGGACATCAGAATCAAATGGGGAGAGGGGGAGAGGAATTAAAATGAAGATTACCTGGCCCCACCCTAACCACCTCAGGAATGTGCTTTTATAAAAGCACCTCAGGTGATTCCAAAGCATTGGCAGGGTTGAGACACACTTAGACTCAAGTGTGACTCTGATTAACCTCTGACCCTTCTGCCGCTGTTTCCTTCCTTTGCCTTCAATCTCCAAAGGAGTAAAATGTACTTTTAGGCCCTGAAGCCTGAATCACACTCTTTAGCCCCTACAGGCAGAGACAATAGGTGACGACAGGTGGTGGAAGTTGACTTTTCTCCTTATCTACCTGTTATCACTCTTCCAATGCCTCCACATAAATCCAAGGCCAATAAAGTCATTACTGCTCTCTGTTCTATAATCTAGGGATTAGTCTCAGTGGAGGAGTCCTGGTGTGGCGCTGTGGGTTAATGCGCCAGATTGCAAAGCCTTTGAACTGCAACGTCGGTGGTTCAAAGTCACTACCTGCTCCTTGGAAACCCTATACAGGGTCGCTATGGGTTGGAATCGACTTGATGGCACTGAACAAGTCTCAGTAGAGACCTCAGAAAGACTGAGTCCCAGTTAAAGGAGAGACTAGGAGACTGCACAGTTGCAGTTATAGATAGAAGAGTTAACCAGGTGATGTTGATCCACCTCAGGGCTGCCATGTATGGCTTTGCAAATTAGGACCAACCTAAAGAAGAGCTCTTACGAATGTGGCTGTGACCCGCAAGGTCAGCAGTTCAAAACTACCAGCTGCTCCACGAGAGAAAGATGAGGCTTTCTGCTCCCGTAAAAAATTTCCAGCCTTGGAAACCTTGTTCAGGGTCGCTATGGGTCGGAACCGACTCCACGGCACTTTCACAACAACAATAATTACGAATCAGGCTGCTTACCTTTCACAACAACAATAATTACGAATCAGTCAGAAGTTTGAAACTACCAGCTGTTCTTTGGGGAGAAAGATGAGGCTTTCTGGTCCCGTAAAGATTTACAGCCTTGGAAACCCTGTACAGGGTTGCTATAAGTCAGAACCGACTCCACGGCACATAACCACCACCACCAATTTTTTAGAAAATACTAGTTATATCATAGTCTGCAGTTATATCAGTCTCCCCTAGAAATTGCTCAGTATAGCCTAAGGAGCTTTATGGGATAGTCCTGTCCAAGGGGAAGTGTATTCAGATAATAACAAAGCTGCTCCAGCTAGGGTAAGGAAGAGCTGCTTAGCTACTTACACAAGGGCAACAAGACTAGGGGTCTGAGCAGAGAAAAGCAAAAGGGTTTGAGTTAGGTAGTAGAGGGGGTGAAGGCAAGGAATTGGCCTGAGTAGGAATTAGTCCAACAACTGAATTATGAAGGATCAGAAAATAGTAGGACCTGGTGGGTTGGATGTCCAGACAAGGTCTCACTCCTCTCTGTGCTGCTCTCTCTAGGCAATTTCAGCACCTGACCCGCTCCTACTTCAACATGGTATTGATTGACAAGCAGGGTGTAGACCGTGAACGCTACATGGAACCTGTCACTCCTGAGGAAATATTCACCTTTGTTGATGACTACTTATTGAGCAATCAGGAGCTGGCCCAACGCAGGGAACAAAGGGATGTATGCGAGTGAACCTAAGCCAGGGCATGGAGAGATCAAGGGAAAAGATACGCTAGTTGGTTGAAACTGGGGCCTAATAAAAAGGAGGAAATGGTTTCCCACAGTTATAGGAACCGGACTCTGAGCAGGGTGAAGTTCACCAACCCTGGGACATTTTCAGGCACCTTTTAAGATTGTGTGGTAATTTCCTTGAAACAGATCTCCATTTCAGGTAGCACTGGAGGAACATAAGAAGCTAGGTAAGGACTGAGGGAAGGTCCTTGGCCCTGGGTTAGGGGTAGAAGGTCCTCCTTTCCTAATCTGGGCCTGCTCTCCAAAGTCTATCAGATGATTAACAAAAAAAATCAGGGTTTTTAATTGGTTCATTCTGGTTCGACAAACTCCCACCTGTTGCTGAGAGTGTGCATTTCCACCCCAGATAACACTGAATGAGAATCTACATTTTAGCAAGATATATATGAATCACCTGGGGGTCTTGTTAAAATGTAGATTCTGATTCAGTATATCTGGTGTGGAAAGGCAAACTCTCTCAGCAAGAGGGTCGAACTGGAATGAACTGGTTGGAAGCCTTGATAAATTCAACATTCGTTCACCAATCAGCTGTATTTTAAACGGATCTCCCAAGTGGCACACTGGTCACACTTGGCTGCTAACTAAAAGGTCAGTGGTTCAAACCCACCAATCATTCTGTGAGAGAAAGGATCTAGCAACCTGGTACCATAAAGTTTATTGCCTTGGAAACCATATGGGGTAGTTTTACTCTATCCTTATGGCACTGTGGGCTAATGCGTCAGACTGCAAAGTCATTTGAACTGCAAGGTCAGTGGTTCAAGCTCACCAGCTGCTCCTCGGAAACCCTATACAGGGTCGCTATGGGTCGGAATCAACTTGACGGCACTTAACAACAACGACAGGGTCACAGAGTTGGAATCAACTCAATGGCAATGGATTTAATGGCTTTACTCTGAGATGACAGCAGAGGGCAGCACCATCACACTAGACAAACAGGAGAGTTATTGTTGTTAAGTGCCTTGGAGTCGGTTCCAACCCACAGTGACCCTGTATAGGGTTTCTGAGGAGCCTCTGGTGAGCTTGAACCACTGACCTTGCAGTTCAAATAGCTTCACAGTCTGGTGCATTAACCCACAGCGCCACACCAGGACTCCAAACAGGAGAGTAAGCAAGTGTAATTGGATTTTCCTTTTATCATGGGGAGTGAAGGATAGCTACAAACCGTGAACCTGTTTATCATTTCCCCTTCTAGGTTATTAGATCACAAATGTTATATTAACCACTTCTTCATCGAAAACTAAGAAAATGTTACAATGGAAGGGAGCTTGGGAAGAAAAATCAGGCCAGAACATGTTCTCTTCTGGCCCTTCCAGCTGGCTCCTGGTCAAGGACCCTTTCTTACTGAAGTGTCCAGTTTCTGTAACAAAAAGGAAAAAATGCTGTCCCTTCCTCAGAGAGGCACCGCAGCCCCATGATCTAGGAAACCTCAAAACCACACTGTACACCTCTGTAAAACTAGTGAGGAAAAACTGATTCACCCTCATGTATTAACTTACTCAGATATCTATCTTTTAGAAGATGAGCACCGAGTAGGTAGGCGCTACAGCAGCACAAAGTCAAACCTTTAGAGTCATTTCTGAAGGAAATTTGAGGATGGGCACAGTGAAGCCACACACAGGTATCATAGTCTGTGTGACTGGCACAACTCCTCCCCTAAGAGTTATTCAGTACAGCCTACATAGTTGACTGTGATAGTTCTGTTGAAGGGTACTTATAAAGGAAGTACATGCAAATAATAACAAAGCTTCCAACTTCAGCCCCATTCGATGGTGTCAGTATTTGCAAAAAAGGCATTCTTTTTTTAAAATGTTTTATTGTGAATTAATTATGTGATTGTTTACTTGGGAGAACATTAGTTTTACATTCATCCTATCATATATCGTTTCATTGCCATGGTTACAATTCCTTCCCCGTATCATCAACCAACCAAAGGGTACATCCTACAAGCCTGCCTCCCCACCCCCACCCCCCAATAAAAAGGCATTCTTGCCCTTGTTGCTGTAAAACTTCTTTTATGTATTCGTGGAACTCAGTGTCATAGTTATACTCTGTTTATCCAGGGGGCACCAGTAGAAAACTAATTAAAGGGAAGAGGGAAGCAGGGTGAGTGAAGAAGCAGAGATAATGTTCACTGTGTGCTGGGCTCCATTTTAAACAGTTTATATTGACTCTGAGAGTCCTGGCGTAGTGCCGTGGGCTAATGCATCAAACTGCAAAGTCATTTGAACTGCAAGGTCGGTGGTTCAAGCTCACCAGCTGCTCCTTGGAAACCCTATACAGGGTCACTATGGGTCAGAATTGACTTGACGGCACTTAACAACAACAACAACATATTGAATCTGAAATCATCACAAGAGTCCTATCCTATTATTAGTCCCATTTTACAGAGGAGGAAATTGGAAGCACAGAGAGGTTAGGCAATTTGCCCAAGATTAGGCAGCTAGCAAGTGACAGGGTCTGGATTTCAACACCAGCAGCCTGGCTCCAGAGTCAACATTCTTAAGCATTTATGCTATCCTGCCGCTATTTTTTTCTACTTTTCATTTAAAGAGAGCTAAAAGTTCAAAACAAGAAGGTTTCATCATCTATAATTCTACTCAGACACGAGACTTGGTATGGGCCTACAGGGAAAGAGGAAAATCAAAGGCTCTCAACTCATAAAAATTCACTCTCCAAAGCAGAGTGATGAGACATAAATCATGAGCTCAGACTATATGGGGCTGACAGTGAGTCTGAGGGAAGCTGTTCTCATGGGAGTTTTAGGGAAATTTGATTTTTAAAATGCAAACTAAAAAGTTGGGCTGTTTCTGGCTAGAATTGGACATGGAAGAAATTATCAGACTTGAAGCCAAAGGTCCCTTCTCCTTCTCCCCTCTAGGGACATACAGAAGCTATTGAAAAGCAGGAGGCAAATTATGGGCAGAAGGCAAAATACAATGAGTTAATGTATAAAGTCTCTGGTCAGACAGGGTCTGTGGTTCCAAAGGCAAAGATTGTACACCGAACGAGATGGATGTCGGAATGCTCTTCCTTGTCTTTATTACTAACACTTCAAATAGCAAGTAAGTCAAAGGCCCAAATGATAACAGTGAAGAGGTCCATGACCTCCTGAACAGAATTCCCACCTGGGATTGGCTGACTCTGTAAATGTGTCTCTAGCTTAAAAAATGGAGTTTTGTTTCTCGTTTTGAGTAGTCAAGGCAAATATTCATCTTACTTTCTTTAGAAAAAAGTTTTATTGTGACCTCCTTTGGTAGTTCTTTTCAGATATGATTAAAACTGTCTCCCAAAGTAGGGGAAATGGATAGAAGCAGAATCAGGCTCAGTCAGACCCATCAGGGTTAGACCGACCCCAACTCCCTATATATGTCTTTCTCTGTACCTCTCTGCCCAATCCCAGCCCCTAACCCTCACAAGCACACACATACACACAAACATAAAAACTATATAGTTAAAAAGCTGGCTACATAATATCCAAGCATTCTGACTGTCCAATTTTGTAAATTAACTTTAATGTTCATTCTAGAGGACGAGGCATCCATTCCTTTTAGCCTTTGCCTGTAACACACACATCATTCTCACAGGAGGCAAAATGGTGTACTAGTCAGACAATGGCTCAGATTCCAACTTTGGTGCATGATAGCGGGCTTCAGTTTCCTCTTTGGTAATGTGTATTTCCTATTTCATGTGGTGTTTGGAGAATTTACAGAGCTAACTTATTAATTGCCTAATACACAGTCCTGTTCAAAAAAAAAAAAAAAGGCATTTAATATTTGTGAATGCCCCTTTTTACCAGAGGTCAAAAATCACTTGGGCTTTACCTAGATACCCAGAGCCTGATTTTTTCGATGGTTACTTAGCACCTGTGTTATTTGTGTATTAAACCTAAACAATGGTAGAAGAAGTAAAGGAGTTAAGTCCCCATCTCTTAAGGAAACAGAGGAATACAAAGAGAGGGGCTTATAGTAGAGAATGTCTTCCCTCATCTCTCTTGTGGATATTTCTTCAGTTCAGGAGGTTCTACAAAGTCAAAATTGGGGTTTCCTTGGTACTTCAGAGACAGAAAAGTGATACCACGGTTCTCCATGGATCAGATCTCAGCAAAGGTATCACACAGCAGTATGGGAAAAGGGTAAATTTTCTTCAAATCAGCAGAGGATAGTTAGGGAAGGGCATTTGTCAGGTTACTTTGGTTTTCATCCATTCAGCTTGAAGAGCAACAACAGTAAGTCAGAAAATCAGAGACAACGCATCTATAGAACTAAAAAATGCAAACACTTGACAAGTGAAAAAACTTTATTGAAGCACACACATACAGTTCAGGGGATAGAAAACAAAAAATAAGTTACAGCCCAGGATTCCAAGATGTGACTTTCGTTATAATCCACACCAAAAAAAAAACCTTTAAAAAAATTCCTCCATTCACATATAATAGACACCCCACCATCATTTACTATCAATCCAGTGGCCTTGTAGACTCCGTTCACAGACAACTTTGTATGATACTCATGTAAGGATTGAAAAGGTCAGTTTAAACACTGAGAATCAGAAAATGAGCCTCAGACCACAAGACCCGTCTTAGAAAAACCTCAACATGCCACAAGCATGCTATATCAAAGTCAATTTTAGGAAGCAATTGAAGCACTAGGAACAGATACCGCTTCAAGAAAGAAGTCAGAAGAGCTGGGAGGTTTTCTGTACATGTTGTCTTGGAACACCAGATCACTTTATACAATTAGTTGGCTGTTTTGGCTAATACCGTGGTATGTGGACCATGTTCTTGTGTGGTAATGCACCCCAGAAACAAACACTAAAATGCAGTATGTAAGAGTGAAGATTTATAACTTCTCGTTAAATAAATGAGCTTTTAGACAGCTGCTGTATCAGTTAAAATATAGAGAATTCAGCATATGCTGTGAGGCACTTACCCTCAGTCACAGTTAAAAGGCCATTATTGAGTTAAAGTGTTTTGTTTTTATTTTACAGGTGGATCTATTATAAGGTTCCCCCAAAGGTGTAGAAAAGCTGGACTTTACTTAGCATTTGAAACAATATCAGACCCAAGCAAGGTGGTAACTTCTTAAAAAGAAAAATCTTAAAAACAAGTTTCTGAAATGTATCAAGGTAGAAAATCAGTTTTTAAAAATGAGTTAAAAACAAACTGGAGAGATACTCATCTCCCTCCCATATTCTCTTATCTCTAGCAACTCAACCTTGCTTCCCAGAGTCTTGACCTCAGGTCAGGCACACCTGTAAACAGACCAGTGCTAATGCCAAAGGCAGGCAGGGTTTCCTGGGAAAGTAGGAGCAAGGATAACAAGAGAAAAGATAAAAAGTTGTTTTAAGAGATTTAAAAAGAAGTTAATTACACTTCATAAATATAAAGACAGGACAGACTGAAAATACACTGGATTATACACACACACACACACACACACACAATCCTGAAGTGACCCTTAACCTGTTTTTAAAAAGGAATAACTCTGCAGCACGCTAGCATAAGGGGTTTTGTAGAAATACATGTTACACATACATACTTAACATACACACATTAAATTAGAAATCTTTGCTCTTAGTTTCTTCACCTCCTCTGACTTTCCCTGGCCAGGGCTGGACCTGCAGAGAAGGTCAGGAATTCATAAAATCAGCTTTTGCTTGGCCATCGAGGAACGGAGCTGTAGAGTCCCTTCTGCCCAAGACCCTGGGTATTGTCGCATCTTCTGCCACAGGCTCACTTCTTCCCCAGCCGAGTCCATCCAGTCCACCATTTCCCCATTACTGATCCCTGAGGAGAAATATCAGAGGATGCTAAACAGGGGCTCCACCCTTCAGCCCACCAAGAAAGACAAGTTCTACAGTAAGGGTAGCAGCCTCATAATATGCAATGTGCAATGAAGAAAGACTGGTGGAGACAGCAACCTGGGAGATATTTTCGGCTGATCCTGTATAGATATTCCTGTGCCCCTGAGACTATCCAGAGACTTCAGGTTGATGAGGCAGACCTCCAAAATGCACACTGTAACTTGTTGTTGTTGTTGTTATGTGCCGTGGAGTCGGTTCCGACTCATAGCGACCCTATACAGGGTTTCCGAGGCTGTAAATCTTTACGGGAGCAGAAAGCCTCATCTTTCTCCCGCAGAACAGCTGGTAGTTTCGAACTGCTGACCTTGCGGTTTGCAGTCCGATTCGTAACCACTACGCTACACTGTAACTAGAGTCCTCTTATTCTGAGGCTGTTACAGAGCTCTAGTGCTTGACATCTCATGCCAGAGCTACTGTCCTTTTATCATTGCCAGGTTTACTTTAAAAATGCTTTAAAATATACGAGCACATTTTGATCTAGTTGTAGACCCTGAGGCCAGAAGTTAGAATTGTATTAGGCCTCATTCATATCCATCCATGCATGCATTCATTCAGCAAACATTGAATGCCTACTATGTGCCAGTTACTATACTAGGCTCTGGAGATATGGTGGTGAAGAAAGCAGAACCAGTTCCCATCTTCATGTACTTTACATTTAAAAAGAGACAAAATGACAATAGTCATTTTGAAACAAACATGGTGACATGTAATACCTGGATCAGGGTCTATCTTAGATGGAGTAACATGATGACCACCCTGAGGTGAAAACATATCTTTTGTCAAGTTGTCAAGACCTAACCCGTGTCAAGACTCAAGAACTGAAGGCTACAAGCCTTTCTAGACAGTGGGAACAATAATTGCAAAGGTTCTGAAGTAGGAATGAGTTTGGTGTATTTGTGGAGCATAAAGAAGGTCACTGTGGTTGGAACATAGTAAACAGGTGGCAAGGTAATCCAGGATGAATCATAAAGACACAAAAAGTGTCCTTGAGACATGGTAATATGGAGTCTATTGGTGGCTATGACATGAGCTATTCCTCAATGGCATGGTGGGACAGGAGCCAGATGGCAGTGGATTGAGGACTAAAGGAGAGGTTAGAAAAGTAAAGATGACAATTATTTTAAAGACATTAGAGGGGAAATGTGGGGCCAATGGAGGGTTTGTTATTATTTGTTAAGATTGGAAATAGAGAGATACATGGAATATAGGAAGATATGAGAGATAGGAGATAATTCCTGAAGTGAGGTCATTGAAAAGGTGAAAATACGATTCAGAGCACATGGAGAGAGTGTGGCCTATGTAGTAAGGAAGATGGAAATCATAGGTACGTTGATAGGGTTGTGGCTTTTGAGGGGTATTGGGGGAGAGACGGGAAGATGATGGAATTCTTGGCAATCAGAATATGAAATTGATACACATAATAGTATAGAGCTCAGCCTCCCCTATGTCTGGCACATTGTAGGCACTCAATAAATATTTGTTGAATGATAACTGAAAAGAAAGAAGACAGCTCTAGTCATAGAGGGGCTTTCTGGTGGAAAGGGTATAGTAATTGTGAAATATATAAGAGGCCTTAAGTCAAAATGGGGAAGAGGCTCTCACCAGTGCCAACACCCAGCCTGACCCCTCCCAGGAAGTCATTGCTGGACAGGGGCTCCCGGTCCCACACAGTCAGTTCCAGGCACAAGTGTTGTAGATCTTCTAGCCGTACACCATTGTAGACAAATGTATGGTTGTAGTGGGGATTCAGAGTCTTCTTCATCACAGGAGTTTTACGCTTACTGGCCTTGTTCCTCATGGGAAGTAGGTATCTGGCAGAGGGTAGGGAGTAATCAACAAGCCACTCAAAGCTGGCATTATCTGTCTTAGTTCCCCTTGCCCCTACCACAGGCCTAGCCCAGGAAGGTGAATAAACACTCTGATCCTAATACACACACCCCTCCTTTGAATCTGCTGAAGCAGAGTTCCTGCCACCTCCACTAAGTCATTCACCTGATTCAATTCCTTTAACCTGGAGAGATAATTAATATAATTTTATTAGTGAGCTGTTGCCTATGCTCCAGCCAAAATGGGTTTTAAATATTTGGTTCCATTTCTAATGGCCAAGGTCCTGTTTAAATACAACCAATAGTAATAACTGTAATCTTAGCCAAACATAATTTGCTATAGAACTTAAATCAGTGGGATGATTTCTGTTTTGTGGAAAGCTAGCATTGCTTTAAAATGGTAGGGAATGAAGCCTTGAGTTCTCAAATCTGGGCAGTCAGGGGACATAGATTTTTATCCAGATTAATTAGCAATATAAGTCTATTCCAAAGGAAAAATCTGTCCACTGCCCTCCTCTGTGGAAACCAACATGACAGTCCAGTCCAAAGTGAGCCTAGTCCAGTGCAAAGGTGGTGGAGGAAGTTTTGCCAGTACCTAATTTCAGGAACAAAGGTGGCTTCTGGGAATGGTAGGATACACAAGGATGAGGATGGTTAAATTCTACTCCTTTCTTAGCTCTTTTGTCCTGAAACTCATGAGTTTGGTGTTAGTCGAGGGACTCACCCTTTGACAAAGCTGTCTGAAGTCCCTCCTGATTTGGCAGCTGTGAGGTTCTTGGCTTCTTTGATCCACACTTGGAGCTCTCCCCCTTCCCCACCTTTACCTGCAAGGGATGTCAGTCATAGCAAGTGAGCCCTGCACCTCCAGATTTATTCTGAGCTTGATCTACATAGCACTTCCCTTCCTTTCTCTTGTAGGCAGCAAACTCCATGACAACTGAAACCATATCTCACTTGTATTCTCAATAACTAACACAGTGCCTAGCAGTAAGTAACAGGTACCCAATTAATAACAACAATAAACACTTATTGAACAGTGGCTTTGTGTCAGATACTATGCTAAGCACTGAATTCTCAGAACAGCCCTGTGGGGGAAGGTACTATTTCTTCATGCAATTCTCAAACAACCTTGTGTGGTAATAATATTATTGTCCTAATCTAGACAGCACTTAACAACAACAACAATGCTATAGATGAGCAAACTGAAGTTTAGAGCAATAAAGTCACCCAATATTTGCTGAATTATTTTAAAAGAGGGAATGCCTCCACTTGTGTTCTGGATTCCATTCCCATGCCATAATTTCAACCCACAACTCCTGATTGTAGTATTTCTTCCTCTACTGGTTCTTTCCCCTCAGTCTAAATATATGCTAATTTCACCTCTTCTTCTTCTTTTTTTTTTTTAAAGTCCCTTTAAAGGAAAGCCTCCCTTCAACCTTATCTCCTCTTCAAGCTATTCTCCATGTCTCTCTTTTCCTTCACCACCAAGCATCCTGAAAAAAAAAAAAAAAAAAGACCACACTCACCACCTCTATTCTCTGCCTTATTCACTCAGCCTGGTTCCTAGTGTAACCTGGTGTCTACTTCCACTAATTCACAGAAAATGAGCTGCTCCTTCTCAGTCTGCATCTAGTCTGACTTCCCTGTAGTATTTCAATATTGTTGACACCCAGGCCCTTTCTTCTGGAAGCTCTCTCACTGGCTTCTCTTCCTGTCATCATTCTTTAAATGCTACTGTTCCTTATAGCTCTAACCTTACCTTTCTTCTCTAGTCATTCTACACACCCTTCCTAGGTATTTCACTAGAATCCCAAATCCTCTGCATTAGACCTTGCTAAAGGTTTGTTTTATTTTTTAAAGAAACTCTTTGGCTTTCCATTGCTAACAGATCAAGTTAAACTCCTTACCGTTAACATTCAAACCGCTTTTCAATTGGGTTTCAGTCTCAGCTCCAATTCCAGTCACACTCTCAAGTATAAGTACATAACTCCAGCACCACTGAAGGGATTCACTCCCCCCAGATTCAGAATACATCTTTAACATGCCCTTCTAAAGCCTCTATCAGGCTATCCCCTCCTCCTCCTGAAAATGCCCTTCCATCCTTAATTTCTGCTGTCAAATCTTAACCAAGGTGCAATTTCAATAAGACTTCCTCCTTAAACCTCTCTCAAATGCCACTAGACAGAATTCATTACTTCTGTATCCATGTTCCCTTAGCACATGTGTGTCTTCCTTGCTAACTTAAGTTCCTCAGAAAGGGCAAATATTGTGTCTTATTTATCTATACATCCACAGCCACTAACATAATGCCTAGCAGGTTGATGGACTCTTTCCTGCCTTCAGTTTCCCATCCCTCAATTTACCATCCCTTTCAATCATCCCTGCTTATGCCCAAAGTATCTGTTCTCATCTGTCTTCTGAGTAACTTGTCATACCCAGACCCAAACCAAATCTATTTAATGTCCAAAAAAAAAAGTAATACAAATCCTGCCAATTCTTTGATATTCTCACTGATAAAAGGCTGAAAAGGCTTAATAAAAGGCATCTTCCCTAGAAGATCCAGAGCACATCTCAGTCCAGTCTCTCCAATATCAGCACTAATATCAGTTAGATTTTGTGAAGACTAAGAACTGAATATGGACCCCAAGGAAAACTCACTCTTTTTCCGGTCACCTCCAATGGGGAGTTTAGAGGCTGGGATGTATTTCAATGAAACCACCAACTCCCCTTTGTGTGATGGCAAGCCAGTCAGGGACTCGGCACTGATCTGAAACACAGGGAAATCCACCAGGTCAAGCTGGGCTTCTCGGGAATTGTTGGAACCTCTGTTTGAAGAGATTCTAAAGTTAACCTCAAGAACAACCTCAAAGTATAAGAGGATCCTTCAACCCACTGGACACAATCCAGAGTCCTTAGACCATGGCAGCCATGGTTTCAAAGGCAGTTCCTTTAGGAAGAGATGCAGAAGAACCACCACAGAATCTACTTCCATATCCACTATTTATACTACTTTGGGGCTACAGTTTTATTAGCTCCCAAATACTCTCTAAAGTCTTCAAGCAAGGTTGCCACACAAACCCACAAAGGACACCATGATGAAGAATCTTGTTTCCAGCATTGTTAGTAAAAGCCAATCAATATAGGAATATAGGAAATGTCAATCAATGTAAGAAGAGTTAAATCAGCCACTTTTTGGAAACCCTATATAGGGTTGCTATGCATTGGAACCAACTTGATGACACTTAACAACATTCATTGCATTCTTTTGGACTGCAAACCTAAAGGTCGGTAGTTCGAGCCTGCCAACCACTCTGTGGGATAAAGGCGAGGGGCTTTCTGTTCACTCAAAGATTAAAAAGCCTCGGAAACCCTATACAGGGTCACTGAGTCAGAACCGACTCCATGGCTCTTAACAACAACAACATACTATATGATACTATATGATACTATATAGAGTACCTCCTCCCCCACAAAAGGAAAAAACCTAGAAGGATACAGACCAATTTAACACTTGTTCCCTCTAGAGAAGGAAGTGAAAAGGGTAAAGGAAAGAGGGCTCTTACTTTTTGACTCTATATACATATCTGGGGTCCTCTGAAAAATGAGAATGTCATGTATTACTTGAATGATTTTTAAAGATGAAAAGTATATTCAAAAGAGGGCTTGCAAAGAGTTGAGGGCTAGGTGGAACTCTGGTAAAAAAAAAATTACATAGCCCACAACTGAAAAGTTTACAATTTATTTTATTTTATTTTCCTTTAATACTTATTTCTACCACTCAGCTCTAAGTGCCACAAGGACAGGAACTGAGCCTATTTTGGTTCATCCTAGTATGCCCAACACTTAGAAAACTACCTGGCACATAGTACTGAACTAATACATGAATGAATAACTAAATACCTGGAATATGCAACAAGTAACCTAACATCTTTGGCTTTGGGTGGCAGAAATGGCTCCACTGGTTTTCTCTGCAGGACTCTGCTCTTTAATTTTTGGTATCGAGAGCACGAGCTGGTGCAGACTAGAAGTACCCTTTCACTTACCTGTGCCCATTGGAGCTACTCACCACAGAGTTTCTCAGTGCTAAAAAGGCATAAATCCCATAGGTTTGGGAAAATGTACCACATACCTGGATGCACATGGTTTAGTATATGGGGTAAATAGGAAATAATAGAGAGGTGAATGCTAGGCAGAGAAAACTGAATGGGGAAAAGTGAATTACAGAGAGAAAGAGAAAATGAAAGAAATGTAAGTTCCAATCTATTTTTCTTCTACATTGTTTTAGTTTTGAACCATGTACAGGTAATTCTTTCAATCATAATTTTTAAAAACCACAACAGTACAAAAGAGCATACAGAGAAAACTAAATCTTCATTCTACCTCAGTCCCTCTTCTTAGACGCTGCCACCATAACTAGTTTCTTGCATATCTTTGAAAGGCCAAAGGTGTTACTAGTACATATACCATGTGCTACTTTTACCACTGAAAATGCTAGTGTACAAAAACATTCTTAAAGAAGAACTTTGCTGTTGCACTGCAAAGTTCTGGTAATCAAAAAGTTGCTGGCCAAGTTCTAACTCTATTTTAGTACTTTCCTCTTCACCAGAATGACAGGAATCTATTGTATGTCTGTTGTCTCTCAGGCAATATCATGCCACTCTACCACACTCTCACCTGAGATTCCACCTTCAAAGTAAAATTTTCGCTGGCCTGTGTGACTAAAAGTACAGAAAACAGCAACTGGAGCTCAATGAATGGGTTTACTTCTCACTTTTTTAGTGAGATGCTTAGTTTGGTAAAGAAGTGCTCATGAAGATACACCCACAGATTAGCTTAAAGAAGAGGTACAAACATTCTGGAATGTTAGGAGGCAAAGCTTAGCACACACAGGAAAAACTTTTCACAGAACAACTATGGTTTCATGCTTTGCTTGGCTTACACAGAAGTGATTACTCAAACTTGGCATACAAATGGATCAAAAATTATTGTCAAACTTAGAAATGACAGCAGGGTGCGCCAAAATGCTACAGAAGGCTACATTCAAAGCAGTTACCAACAACTACCAGCTGAGGCCACTGCAGACAATTCTACCTCAGATATAAGGAATAGTTAACACAGACTACCTTTCCATGTAAAGGGAGGCAATGATCCAGTTTCTTATCAAGCTTCCAGGAATCCATTTGGATCTCTGCCTCTCCAAGGAATGTGTTTCTGCCAAAACGACCATGATGCCAAACTGAGAATTGCAAGGTCCTCTGGGCCAGGAGAGATTCTGGGATCTCATACTGTGAAGGAAAAGATGATTGATTAGTTACTGGTAATTCTTCAGAAGAGATGAGTATTCCAAAACCTGATCAACCATAACCAAAATTCATAGTCCCGATTACCAAATTATTTTAATCCCTAGGCACTTTGGGTTTCCATACTCAAAACCTTAACTTCCCCATTTCACCAAAACCTACCATATTCTGAGATTTGTTATTGTTAAGTGCCATCCAGTTCATTCTGGCCCATAGCAACCTTATATAGGGTTTCTGAGGAGCGACTGGAGTTTGAACTACCAACCTTTTGGTTCAAACCAACCTTGTAGTAGAGTGCTTATCCTAAAGCACCACACCAGGACGCCATTCTATGTGAGGACCTGGAAAATTATTTTTTTTTTTCTGAAAGGAGCCCTAGTGGTGCAGTGGGTTAAGCTTTGGGTTGTTAACTGCAAGATCAGCAATTCAAACCCACTAGAAGCTCCACAGGAGAAAGATGAGATTGCTTCCATAAAGATTTTGCCTCGGAAACCCTATGGAGCAGTTCTACTCTGACCTATACGGTCACTATGAGTCTGAATTGACTCGATGACAGTGAGTGAGTCGGTGAGGACACATTGGAATATCCAAAAAGAATTGCAAAGGACACGACCTATCCCAAATGACTTTTTAAAATGAGATTTATAGTCAAATGAATCTCCAGTTTCACAGCAATCCAAGAAAGCCATATTACCTTTGTTTTCTGCTCCTCTAGGAATTCAGAATGTAAGCAGATGCCCACAGTGTATTCTTAGACATAGACTGACACTGAAACCCATATCAACTAGCCATGTTGCAGAGGAACACCTAAAGCTTAGGAAATAAGACAGACCAAGTTCTCCTACCCTCAAGGTCTAGATCAGGGGTAGAGAAACCATTTGGTCTGGCCCTGCCAAGGCAACCGCAGTTGCAGCCATCACATTCAGGGTGAGTTAATTAAATATTTGACCAAATATAGTCAACTCAGTTTTAAGTTGATATTTTGTAAGGCCCCTGAATGATGTTACAAATTTTGGCAGAAAAAAGGTTTCCCACCCCTCCAGTCTAGATACTTACCCTGAGGATTTCATCATACAAGGGACTGATGGTGTCCCGCTTGATGCTGGTTTTTCTTTTTCCTTGACGGGACTTGTCAGGCAGAAGATAAGTCTTCACATATCTGGAAACCAGACAGAACATGAATTTGCTGTCTTTTCTCAAATCCTTTCTTAACTTTCCTGCTCTCTGTATGTATATACCATGGAGAAATGAAAATGTCACTTCAAGCCTTCTTAGACATACTCTTCTTGCTTTTCCCCAATCATGGTCCCTTTTCTATATTTCCCCTGTTGTTAAGTGTCATCGAGTTGGTTCTGACTCATAGCAAACCTTGTATAGGGTTTCTTTGTGGGTTTTAACTGCCAACCTTGTGGTTCACAGTCCAGTGCTGATCCTACAGTGCCACACTAGGAGTCCTTATCTTCCCTAACCACTCTCAATCATATTCCCTGACCCCCTCAAAAGGAACAAACTCAGTTCAAGAGTTTCCAGACAGACACCAAAGTCTGATCTCTCATCTCAGATCATCCATCAGGTTTCAAAAGTACTCACGGGTTAGAGCGCTTCTTGGCTTCATCAGCATAGGCCAGCTGGTAACACTCTTTCACATGGATGACCAGAGTCTGTGTTTGCTGTTCATACTTCAAGGAAAAAGCAATCTTGCCCGTCACAAAGATGTTTCCGAAATCACCAGCTTCACTATAGATGCTCATCATGCTGCCGATGGTACTCTGAAGATAAAGTACCCACAGACATCTACGGAAACCATACTCCCCCTATGACAAGCCAGTACTGCCAACAGCCAGAATATAAGAGACAGCAAGTGCAAAGTTGCACACTCACAGCATTTAGGGCAATTAATCTGTGTGTGATTCATCTAGAGAAGTGGTGGGGGACATCTGGTCCACAGGTCGTATAAGGCCATGAAATCACGTGGTCAGGCCCTGCCAAGGCAACCTGAGGCCGGATTCAGAATTCAATAAATTTAGTAACATAAATTTATATTAAGTGATGTAATAAATATCCAAATGGCCCTTGGCAGAAAAAAGGTTTCCCACCCGATCTTGACTCTTAGCTTCTCTTTCTCACCTCTTTTTACGTTATTTTGTTACATTTCACCTAACACAGAAGGTGAGCAAAGGTATGGTGAAACTAAGCCCATTTTTGGTGTATGTTCTATATGCTAAATAGTTGCCTAAAAGGGAGTTGTTACTAATTAAAATAAGTTGCTTTAATCTATAGATTTGTGTTATCCACCTTCTTCTAATCAAGACCTATAGAAAGAAGAGATTAGGCCAGAACTGGGGGGAGGAGGGAAGCGATGGCCCAACCTCAGATGTGAAAAGGTATCTTCTTCTCCCCTGTGTTCTCTTCCTTTGTGTTGAGTGTGAACAAATTTTTGTCATTCTTGTTCCTGACTCTGTTTCTCACCAAATATCAATCTTCATACTAATGATAGAACCAGACTTTGATTCCTAAATGCTCTTTTTACTTTATAATTCTGATTGGTATTGTTGATCTTTAATCATACCCTGATTTCAGTTAACACTGCCAGAGCCCTTCTCAGGACATATACTGCCCTTTAATGTGAGAATTTGGAGTGGGCTGTAATGAAAAAATCTGATGCTGCTTACTTCATGTTCTGAGTACCTCTTAAGGGGAGAAGTTCTAGGTACTATCCATCAAGCTGTGATGAAGAATGCATTTAGCCTGAATTACCTAAGAATTTCCAGGTCTAAGGCTCTGGAATTACCTACATGTGCACTAAGCAATTGTGGTCTCATTTGAGAATAGAAACAACAAGTGAATCTTACTTACATGGAAAGGGTGACTTAGATGATTTCTCTAGATCCTGGCTCTGCTCTAGGAAGGTACTTTTCTTCCTTCCTGGCACCCCAGCATGTCTATAATCAAAGAACTAATAGTGCTTACCATGGAAGAGCCACTTTGCATGCTGCTTCTGGCTAGCTTCTGACGATGTAGCTTCACCAGGTGGTCAATGTCTTCTTCCTCTTCTTCTTCCTCTTCCTCTTCCTGGAACAATAAATACAGAATCAGAGTTCAGAAAAATGAGAATAGATTCCTGTAGTTGGAACCATAATTGTTGCCAAGTTCTGAGATGTCAAATGTACATGAACACATATACCCTTATCTTTATATGCCTCCCCATTTCAAGATTCCACACTATATTCTAACAATCTTCCTCAAATATCAAATCTCAAAAGCATATGTGATGCTTTTTTTTTTTTTAGAATTTGTAACTCTCCCATTTGACTGCCCTAACCCAGGCATTCCTGTAAATTTTAATTAGAATAACTTTTACTTGAGCCCCCAAACCACATGTTCAGCCATATACTAGAATACCAAAGACATGGGGAAGGTAGTCTTTTTCTTTAAGCAAATCAGGAACTAGATTTGCTTTTGAAATTTTGGGTGAATCAGGAGCCATGTTGTTTTTTCCTAAAGAATTAAACAGTTTAATGAAGAGTATTGGGTACTAAAGTCAACTCTGGTGGTGGTGGTTGTGTGCCATAGAGTCGGTTCCGACTCATAGCAACCCTGTATGGGGTCTCTGAGGCTGTAAATCTTTATGGGAGCAGATAACCTCATCTTTCTCCCATAGAGCGACTGGTAGATTTGAACTGCTGATTATGTGGTTAGCAGCCCAACTCATAACCCACTATACTACCAGGAGTCAACTCTAGATAAATAAAATGTCATATAGTGACCAAGTGAAATATAAGGGCACTTACCATATCTACACTGAGGCCTGGGACAGATTTACTTCTGTCTCCCAAGGAGCCACTTGTGTGCCCCACATCTTCTGGACGAAGATCTATCACAGATTTAGTGTACTCTGAGTGGAAAACCAGAAAGTCAAGTCAAAAAAGACCCACTCTTCTTCCTACCAAGAGTTCATCCATCAAGGGTATTCATAACTTTAATCCCAAAATACCATGAAAGGAAATCAGCTACCTGAAGGCCTCAGGATTTTTCTGGTGTTCTTCTTGAATATCATTTCACCCTCGTCCACAGATACCACATTTTGACCACCAGGCTGAGTTTCCTAGGAAGGAATTATTGTTGTAAGTTGCTGTTGAACTAATACCAACTCATGTGTGTAGAATAGAAGTACTCCATAGGGTTTTCAAAGTTATGACCTTTTGGAAGCAGATCATTAGCCCTGACTTTCAAGGTGCCTTTAGGTAGATTTGAACCACAAACCTCTTGGCTTGCTGTCCTGTGATTAACCATGTGCACCACTCAGGAACTCCTTAGGAAAAAATAGAGACACGGGAAGGGGAAAGGGTGGTTGGGTGGGTGAGCAGAATAAGGAAGAATAAGACTTAGATTGTAACATAAGTATGAATCAAACTTAAAGATGAAATGTTTTGGAGTAAGCATAAAACCTATTTTCCCACATTTCAACTAAAATCTTAGAACATGCTCCCAAGTGACTTTGAACTGAAATGTGTTTAGATGAATTTCCAATTTAAATTATTTCTGATAAAAACAGGAAGGATGGGAAAGAGAAAGAGAAAGATATGTCAGTAATCTAAAGCTTACCATGTCTACTTGAGATTTGGGGGCAGACATTTTCTTCCATTCTGGAAAGAGGCCAGATTTATCCAGAGAGTCTCTCCTGATGGTAAATACAGAAGTTATAGTTTATCACCTCATCCCCATCCCCTTCCATCCAGGAACCAAACTTCTATGGAAGAAGAGCTACTGGCTTAAGGTCATTGTAGTAACCAAATCAGAAAGTACACTTCACATCTGATTTATCTTGAGGGATACAGACGATATATAACTTCATAAATACATACACTCACACCTCCATTCCTTAGGGACAGTAGTAGTCAATCGAGCTGGGCTAGGAAGAGCCCTTTAAAGCACAGCAGCAGCCTGTGGAAGTTAACATACAAGCAGCTGTGCTCAGAGTCAAACTAGTAGAAATGCTACTGAAAGACTTCTGGTGAGTTCAGAGCAAATACCTCATCTCCAAATTCCTGAGGACAGAAATCAGGCATACCAAAGGCACAGAAGATCTTGATGGTAATGAAAAAAATTGGAACTCTGGGCTGAGTGGAGGTATGGGGAATCTTACCTGGAGGTGCTATCAGAGTCAGCTGTATAGCTATCCAAGCTCTCACTCTCAGCCTCACGCATGCTCTTTCCACTTTTTAGCTTTGGTACTTCAAATGGCACACTAGAATAAAAGTCAAGAGTTAATTAAATATTTAAAGGAAGTTGGGCTCTCCTGCCTCTATGCAAGCCTTCTTCCAACCTATATGCAATTGTAGCCTGAGTGACCTTTCTAAAATGAGTATTGTTTTTAAGTGCCATTGAGTTGTTTCCAATTCATAGCAACCCTGTAATAGGGTTTCTAAGGAGTGGCTGGTGAGCTTGAAATGCCGGCCTTGCAGTTCAAACCGACCTTGCAGTCTAAGCACATTAATTCACAGTGCCACATCAGGTGATCCAAAATGAGTATATGTGCTTTTAAAATCCTTCAGTGGTTCCCCATTGCTTTTAGGATTGAGTTCAAACACTTTAGCATGGCAAGAAAGGCCTTATGATTTGACCCCTGCATATCTCTCCAGCCTCATCTTCCACCTTTTACCTCTCCTCACTTTACATTCCAGAACAATGGTGTTGTTTCCCTGAGTATCCAAAATCCTCCGGTTCTCATTTTTCTCTGTCTGTATATTCTTCTTACAACATCCACTTTTCTTTACCTATTTAATTTAATCTGCTTCTTCTTCAGCTCTCCCCTTATATGTTAAATCTTCCAAATTTATTTGACTACACTCCTATTTTAGGTCTGGTTTAGTAACTTTCCTATGTACTCCCAAAGCACCTGTATTTCCTAGTTGCTGTCTTCATATATGAGTCTTATTTAATGGCCTTCTCCTCAATTAGAGTACATTCCACGAAACAGGGACCATGTATCTTGTTCACTGCTATGCTCCCAGTGCCTAGCAGAGAAACTCACATAAAATAAACAATCAAATATCAGTTAACTGAATTCTTGAACAAATGCCTTAAATGAAGCTTAATATCTTGTTGTTCGGTGCCGTCGAGTCAGTACTGACTCATAGCAACCTTATACACAACAGAACAAAATACTGCCAGTCCTGTGCCAACCTCACAATCATTGCTACCCTTGAGCCCATTGTTGCTGACACTGTGCCAATCCATCTCATTGGGGTCTTCCTCTTTTTCACTGACCCTCCACTTTACTAAGGATTGATCCCTCATTATAATATGTCTGAAGTATGAGAGACAAAGTCTGGCCATCCTGGCTTCTAAGGAGCATTCTGGCTGTACTTCTTCCAACACAGATTTGTTTGTTCTTTTGACAGTCCATGGTACTTTTAATATTCTCCTCCAAAACCATAATTGAATGCATCAATTTTTCTATGCTCTTCCTTATTCACTGTCCAACTTTAACGTACATATGAAGTTATTGAAAATACCATGGTTTAGACCAGTTCTCAAACTGACATCTTTGCTATTCAACACTTTAAAGAGATCTTGTACAACAGATTTGCCTAATATAATACATCATTTGATTTCTTGAATGCTGCTTCCATGAGTGTTGATGGTTGATCTGGTCAAAGTGAAGTCCTTGACAACTTCAATCTTTTCGCCATTTATATGGATATTATTTATTGGTCCAGTGGTGAGGAGTTCTGTTTTCTTTACATTGACGTACAACCCATACTGAAAGCTGTGGTCTTTCATCTTCATCAGTAAGTATTTTAAGTCCTCTTCACTTTCAGCAAGCAAAATTGTAACATCTGCATATCACAGGCTGTTAATGAGTCTTTCTCCAACCCTAATGCCACATTTTTTCTTCATATAATTCATCTTCTTGAATTATTTACTCAACATACAGCATATATATATATATATATATATATATATATATATATACTATTATAGATATACATACATACGTATATATTAAACGGTATGTTGTTTTTGGTTTTTGAGGTAATACTGTGTTTTTGGTGAAAGTTTACAAAGCAGATTAGATTTCTATTTTACTAATTTCTACACACATTGTTCAGTGACATTGGCTACATTCTTCACAATGCATAAATATTCTCCTTCTCATTCTGCATGTTCCCCTATGTAATCTAGTTTCCCTGACCCCATACCTTCTCATCTTTTTTTTTTCTCTAAAGCAATTGTTGACCATGATACCTTGTGAAAAATAGAACTAATGTTGTTGAACAATTTATGTAGAAATTGTCAAGTGAGAACCTTAGTTGCTATATAAACTTTCACCCCAAACACAATATTATTATTTTTTAAATATCTGCATGGCAACTAGGTTCAATGTAGATGTTCAGTAAATATTTGTAGAATAAATATTTAAAAATAAAGTAACTGTTGACAATTTGGCTTTATATAGATGATTTTTATAAGAACACAGTACTCATGGGTGACATTCTTTCTCTGGTAAGCCAATGTGTTATACAGTTAAAAGGTGACCTCAAGGTTGTGGTTCAATGTTTAAAGAGTACCTTTTGGCAATAGTCTTGGGAATTCCTTTAGTTTCAACCAGTCCAGTAATTCAGGATTTTTTAAGAATTAGAAGTTCTGTTCCACATTGTTCTGCCTTTCTACCAGGATCCATCTATTGTGGTCCTGATCAGAATAGTCAGTAGCATTAACTAGGCACCATCTAGCTCTGGTCTTGGGATAGATGAAGCCATGGTTCATGTAGACAATTCTGAATATGGTGGAGTAAGTAAACAGGTTACCCAGACCCTCTAAAACAAAGACATGATACTGATAATCCTGGTACCACGAGCTTCGGAGGAAAGGATAGAGAAGTGAACCAAATACCAACTGGAAGAAAAAGCTAAACAAAAATGAACAAGGAGACAAACGGAATGATGAATTGTCAGCTGGTCTGACACTGCATAGTTATTTTGAACTTTTGCAAGTGGCATTTTGATAGGGACAGCGGCCTGATAATATGTTCCATGCAAGTGCCCACACCAGTGTTTGGCGACCAGAAAGGTGTAATCACCCCTTGATCTGTGACCAGAAGTGTAGCCACTTCCCTATCCTCCCCACATCCCCATCAGAGGTTCACTTCTTTGGGCCAGCAAAACTTACAGTGCCAGGTGGGCCCCTATTCCCAGTCACCCCTGAGTTGCATAAGCTTCTTTGAGGACTAGCTGTCCTTTTAGTCTGTAGGAGACTATCTACTGGCTCAGAAGCTCTCTGAGCCAGTAGATAGTCCTTACAAGATCAGGTACCCTGCCCCCAGTCACCTTCTAGGCAACAGGGACTCTGTCCAGGACCGGGTACCCACTCCCCTGTGACCTTAGTGGTCACCAGAGCACAATAACCTGTACTGGATACCCTGTCACTGCAGCCTCCTCAGCCGATAGGAACATCTCCCAGGTGCCCTGCCTCCTCCGGTTTTCTCCTTTTTCCTCCCCTCCCCCTTCCATTTCTTTCTCCTCCCTTGTTTTTGTTTTCTTTCCCTGTTTTCTTTTTTTCTTTATTTGCTTCTGTCCCCTGAGACCAGTCTTGTTGGCTCTTATTTCTTGTGGATAGATATCAAGTAGAGGGGATTGATGGGTCATACAGTATTTCTATTTCCAACTTTTTTGAAAAAGTGCCATACCATTTTCTACAGTGTCTGCATCATTTTACTGTTCCACCAGGAATATAGGAGGGTCCCAGTCTCTCCACAAACTTGCCAGGATTTCTTGTTTTCTGTGTTTTTAAAAAAATTTTGCTATTAATGCTTGAGTGGGATGAAATCTTGTTGTTTTGATTTGCATCTCTCAAAATTACCAGCTGTTCCGCAGGAGAAAAATGAGGCTTTCTGTTCTCCTTAAAGATTTACAGCCTCGGAAACCCTGTACAGGGTCGCTATGAGTCGGAACCGACTCCACAGCATACCACCATCACCATCGCCATCAATGATTAACGATCACATTGTTTCATATGTTTGTTGACCACCTGAATGTCTTCTTTGGTGACGTGTCTGTTCATGTCCTCCACCCATTTTTTAATTGGATTGTCTTTTTCTAGTAGAAGTGTTGTAGCTTTATATAAACATTAGAGTTTAGTCCCATATCTGTTTTGTCATTGCAAAAAAAAATTTTCATAGTCTGTGTGCTCTTGTTTTACTCTTTTGATGAAATCTTTTGATGCACATTAGTGTCTAATTTTTAGGAGGCCCCTATCTATGAATAGAAGTAGAACACTGCCAGAAAGCAACAGAAGATTGAATACTGGAAGATGATAAATAGCACCAGAATACCGTCAGATATAGGAGTCCTGGTGTGGCACTGTAGGATAAGCACCAGATTACCAGGTCAGCGGTTCAAACTCATCAGCCATTCCTCAGAAACCCTAAGCATGGTTGCTATAAATTGGAACCAACTCAATGGCACTTAACAATAACAACAGATATAGTGCTGGAAGATGAGCCCCTCAGATTGGAAGGCACTCAAAATACAAGTAGGGAAGAGCTGCCTCCTCAAAGTAGAGTTGACTGTGATGATGTGAATGGAATAGAGCTTTGTCTCTTGTTCTTTGGACAGCTATCAGGAGTGATCAATCCCTGGAGAAGGACTGATTGGCAAAGTAGAGGGTCAGCGAAAAAGAGGAAGATCCCCAACAATATGGATTGGCACAGTGGCTACAGCAATGAGCTCAAGCTTAACAGTGATTGTGTGGATGGTGCAGGAGTGGGTATTGTTTCCTTCTGTTAATACAACATAATATGTATTATGAGTTGGAATTGACTCGATGGCACCCAACATTGACAGTCATCTATTTTGTCTTCTACTCTTTGTGTTTTTTTAGTTATGTTTGACAGTGTATTTATACCATGTATTAGAGCCACTAAGTTTGTCCCTATTTTTCATTGATGATCTCTATAGTTTTAAGTTTTCCATTTCCGTCTTTAATCCACGTTGGATTTGTTTTTTTTATATGGTGTGAGATACGTGTCTTGTTTCATTTTTCTGCAAATGGATTTCCAGTTTTGCCAGCATCATTTGTTGAAGAGACCATCTCTTCCCTATTAAATGTGTTTTGGTCCCTTGTCAAAGATCAGCTGACTGTATGTATATGGATTCACTACTGGCTTCTCAATTCTGTTCCTCTGATCTATGTATCTTTCGTTGTAGCAGTACCAGGCTGTTGTGACCACTGTGGCTGTATAGT